AATTACTTTTAAACTGTGAAGTGTCCATTTGATATAGTCATTGCATATAGATCAATCCTCCATAAATAATTCATAATTAGAGATAGGTAAAATCCGTTAACCTTTTTAATTACTTCTTTATCCTTGAGTACCATTGATTCTTTAATGGATAGTGATTCATAAAACACATTCATGAATCGGAGCTCCTACTGGTCCAAGTACCGAATCAACCCTCAAGAGAATTATTTATCTACTTCTTTCTTAAGAAGGAATGGATTCCATCTCGTGTAATAACATTCTCGGCTACCTACTTCATTATGTCTCAAAAATACAAGGAATAGGATTCAGGATCTCAGAATCCGTACCGAGTAAATCAAAAGACACAAATCCATAAATAAGAGTCTGTTAAGAACTCAGGATTAAGATCATCCTATATATGACCATCGGTAGACTCAATTAGAATTTCTATACTTAACGGAATTATTAGAAATTCATATTGTGGCTGTGTCCTTGTTCCACATAATCTCATTCTCACCATATTAACAGTGCGGATAACACCATTCCATTCTAAATGGGAATGACATGTATTAATAATGTTTTAATTAAAGATTCTAAACTTTAATTAAATTCATTATGAACATTGCTTTTTGATTATTATCCTTAAACATTATCCTCTCGTATATAACACTTATATACAATGTTTAAGGTTACATAAATAATCATGGAATTTTCATTGATATTCATAAAATATTCATAAATATATGCACATAAAATAATGAATAAACTCTTTTATTAAATAAATAATAAATATCCTATTACATCTCATGCTTCTAGGACACTATTCCCAACAATATGTATATTATTTTTGGCCTTTTTTCCTTTTTTTTTCCAAGAGCGCATGTACATTTTAATTCTTTTTGGATGCACTTTTTTATGATGTTTTTTTTTTTTTTTTTCTCTCTTGCTTCCTATTAAATAAATTTTACAAATGTGCCTCTAAATCTTCTTTCTATGTTATAACTATTATATTAGAAATTATCCTTATAAATAGTTTTCTTTCTAATTGACCCACAATATTTTTTTTTACTGAAGCATGCCTCTTTTTGAATATTTTTTTCGCGCAGCCCTTTCTATTATTGTTTTTCATAAATAACTTTTTCCTAATTTGTTATTACCTTCGAGAAATTTTTTTTAAATATGTTAGGCAGTTTAAACAATTTTATGCAACCTTTCCAAATACTATTTTTCATATGTCCCATTAATTAATTTTTGATTGATTTATCCGTCAAAATATTTTATTTTCATTTACAACAAAAGATACATTTCTATTAATAAAAACAAAAAAAAACATGCATTTTGATTAAAACACTTATAAATCTTTCACGTGAGCAGATGTTGTTGAAAAATACAGTAAAAAGATGCACAGTGAAATTTTAAAATTTTTTAAAATAAACCAATAGTCGAATCATGTTCATGATGCTATGTATCATAAATATAAAAGATTTAAATCATACCTCTAGGAGACTGGTAGTTGAATCTCCCAAGAAACTGCAACAAACAGAACAACAATCTGAAGAGCTTCAACCAACTGGTCTTCCCTACTATTCTCTTTTCCATGACCGAAGTGCGAGTAGACACATCGTACAATCTCCTCTTCGGTATCTTAAACTGCTTACAACCACAAGAGAGCCAAAGGAAAAATGATCTTGATGTTTGATCAGTTTTTCCTCTAAAAAACCCTTACCAATAGCCCCCAAAAAGTATCTCCAGTGATCTAAATGACTATGGGACGTAATGAGCTACTTATAGTGGTAGGTTGGACTTATTTTCGCAATTAAATATAACTGTCCAGTTAACCAGACGACAGACATTGTCTGTATAATGTAACACTGTCTGATTAACCAGACGTAACCAACCGGTTAACCAGACCTAATATTTCAGGCAAGTTTTATTTCTCTTATTTGAATTCGAGAATTATGTATACAACACCACTTTTAATTTAAATAATTCGACGTAGAAAGCATATGATTAAAATAATTATATACATATTTTCTCATATAAAATAAAAATAAAAACATTAATTTAACTAATTTATTTTGAATTAATTTATGCAATTAATTTAACGAATAAATAACTCATGACTTAATTTAAACACTTTATTAATTCAACTAATTTATCTTAAATTAATTTAAACAATTAATTCAACTGATAAATCACTTGTGAATTAATTACATCCAATTTATAACCAATTACAGAAATAACACAAGTTGCTAATTTGTAGGAAATACATCGTATCGTATCAGGAAAATATACGAGCTAGCAGAGGGACCTAAAGAACATGTAAAGATCAAGCTCCTAAAATCACGACAGAACTTGTTAACTAACAAGTTCATCATATGATTATAAGTTATAGTGCTACTCCACTAAAAGTCTATAACTGTACTCTCGATCAATACAATATATTTATAAAGCTCCAATTAGCTCTTGTCCATGACTTAATTATATTGTGTATATCACCCCCCATAGGATATCCATAATTGACTTGAGATCAAGTTCCATCTTACCTTCCCGATAATATTTATCTTATGTTTCATTATCACTCCATCAAAAAATCACTATTTGTACAAATACAAATAGTATAATATTAGATAACACAAAGTAGTATAATAGCTGAACGCTCATGTTTGTCAATCCCCGGATAATACCATAAGAGAATATCACTGACTCTTTTAGTAAGAGTAATGGATTCCCTATCTATGAATACTAAACTTATGTATACAAGAGTCGTATCTCTAAAAAACTGGTAAGCGTACATTTACATAATGTCAGGATGTCTCCTTTTGGCATATTAAAAGATACAAGTCAAGTATACGGATTTATTATTCATCTTAGGATTAAGATGACAACATATAATTAGTCAAAAGTGAATTATTTTATACAAACATAATTATTAATTAACACAATTTATCTTTAGTCAGATCTAATATGGAGTCCACCATTAGGAATTATATCAATGTCTCTACCCATGAAGTCTCACCTTCGACGACCAAGACAAGTCGTCTCCGTTAGGAAGTAGACAATATAACAATCTTAACATGAATAAATCGCCCAACTTTACTCTATTGATTGCGGATCATATATTTAGACTATCATATTTAGATTTATGTCTTTTGCATATTCTTCTCATTACAAGCCTGATTTAAAGATTTAGAACGACAACCTCAAATTTAAGTTTGCTTAACATACATCCAACTAATATGAACGTAAAGAAGACAATATTTGATATATTAAATAAATAAAATAATCCTTTATTAATAGTTAAAATGTCTAGTAAACATTGTTACATTTATTTCTAAAGGGGATAAACGATAACAATCTCCCACTTACACTTAAAGTGAATAAATGTGTCACGCTATGCGTTCCCATAGCCTCGACATGTTTTTTAAAGACCTTAGCCGGCAGGGTCTTCGTGAACATGTCAGCTATATTGTCCTCATATGCGATCTCATATTTCCACATGCCTTTCTTCTATGAAGGCTCAGGCTCTTATTACATGATACTTCCTATCAATATGTTTACTAAATTTTTCATATCTTGGTTCTTTGGTATTAGTTATTGTCGTATTGTTATTACAATATAGTCTCAATGACTTATCCATACCAGGAACTACCTTAAGATCCATCATAAATTTACGGAGTCACACTGCTTCTTTCGAAGCATCACTACTCGCACCATATTAAGCTTCCATCATTGAATCATCAATGTAAGTTTGCTTGACACTCCTCCAAACGATATCACCACCTCCCAGAGTAAAAATAGACCGCGAAGTTGATTTTCTCAAATCCAAACATGATTAAAAATCTGAGTATGTATATCCTATAGGTATAAGATCCTCCACGAAACATACCAGCATATGATTCCTAGTCCTTCTCAAGTACTTAATATATGCTTGACTGCTACCCAATGATTAGGTCTTGGATTCGACTGATATCGACTTATGATCCCGATCAAATGACAAATATTTGATCGTATGCAAAGCATTGCATACATGCAGCTACCAACCCCTGAAGTATAAGGTACCTTTACCATGTATTTTCTTTCCTCAGATGTCTTGGGACAATCACTATTTAAAAATTTTAACTATGTACCCATATGGTCCCACCTCCGACGACCAAGACAAGTCATCTCTGTTAGAAAATAAAAATCATCGTAAACCAATAGCAAAGGAAATTTAACATTATATCAATGCAATTTTATAGAATAATCGTTAAAAGGTGACAATTAGAGTATATTTTTATAAAATTTAAAATAGTAATAGTTTATAATTTAAGATACTGGTGTGAAGAGAGATAAAAACTATATAATTAGTTTTAAATTGGACAGTATAATTCAATTCAAATGAAGAATATGAGTGGTTACTAAATATGATTTTAAAGTGTGCTTAAGTTAAACTAAATTAAATCAGTAAAACAAGTGAAATAAACGGGCTTGTGTTTTTTCATTCAAACATTCCCATAATCTCCCTCCCTCTTTAATTCAACCTAATAGCTCCTTGGACTTGGGGGCCGAAGTACCAATCGGTAAAATAGGGCCCAATGGACTTGTTGGTTTTCTCCCTTTTTTTTCTTTTTCTTTTTTTTTTTCTCTAGTTACAAGTCGGTGATTGTATTTTAGAAAACTAAACTGAGTGAGGATCACGGAAAAGGGTCAAACACGTGAGGGTGTGGCAAATGGCCTTTCCAAATTTCCTTTGGCCCCAAGGCAATCAGCCCGGCGCACCATAATAAATAATAATCTCTTGCATTTCTTTTTTCTTGTACGCTGCTGGGTCCGTTTCTCGAAGGAGAAACAGAAAAAAGAAAAGGAAAAATATCTCTGATTAAACACTAACCCAGCAGAGAAAGAAAGAGAGGAAAATCTCTCATCTGAATATCATCCCACGGATCAAGTTTGCGAAAAGCTTCTTGTCTTTTAACATTTTGTATCAGGTAAATTTCCTTTTCTTTTTCTCCTCTATTATTAGGGCATTTCGTTTTCTGCCGATTGTAAGGATTTCAATGAATAATTGCATAATTCGATTTTTATCTTGTAATGTTCGTGTTTGGACCGATAATAGGGGTTTGATAATCGTATTTTTTTGAAATAAATTTTTTTTCCCTGTTTGGTCTCAGAGAATATCTGAAAAGTAATGGAATCACAGTTGCTCGACGGAAGTGGAACCTTTTTTTTTTATTTTTTTTATTTTTTTGATCTTAATGGTACTCTATAATCAATGTTTGGGTTTTCTATTTATCCAGTATTCTATTATGAACCAACCCTTTTAATTAGAATTTCTCAATTGCTTTGTTTTGTTCTATTGCAGTTGATTGGCATTCCATTTCTTGGTATTTTTCGCACAAAAAAACCCGTTTCGAGTCTGTTCTTTGTCTTTCCGGTGTCGGTGGCTACAAGCTTTGGAGGCTCGGTTTCGGAGAACATGAGTTCTAATGTCTCGAGTGAGCGAAGGGACAATAACAGGCCTACTAGGTTTGCTTCCCAAACTGCCCGTCAAGAGTGGGTTCCTAGAGGGGCCACCACCACGATGACTGTCGTAAACCCTGTTTTAAGCTCCGACTCGAACACAACTGGCAATGGTGGAAGAGATTCTAACCACGGCTCTACAACATCTCAGAGTCGGTCCAGGGGGAACAATAGTAGTACTGGTTCAAGGGGTCAAGTCAATCGTTGGACGAATCACAGGAGGGAGAGGGAGAAGAAGGAGAAGGAGAGAAGTGTGACTCAAGAGAGGAGTACAAGCGAGGATGAGGGGGTTTTGAAAGACGTAAATTTGCCTCATCTTGTGCAAGAGATTCAGGACAAGTTGATGAAGGGTGCTGTTGAGTGTATGATTTGCTATGACATGGTTAGGAGATCTGCAGCCATTTGGTCTTGTTCGAGCTGCTACTCGATTTTCCATCTGAATTGTATCAAGAAATGGGCTCGAGCGCCTACCTCTGTCGATCTGTCTGTGGAGAAAAATCAGGGGTTTAATTGGCGGTGTCCTGGATGTCAATCCGCGCAGCTCACGTCATTGAAGGAGATTCGATATGTGTGCTTTTGTGGCAAGAGGCCTGACCCACCTTCTGACTTGTATTTGACTCCCCATTCGTGTGGGGAGCCTTGTGGGAAGCATCTTGAGAGGGATTTTCTTGTTCCAGGAGAGAGTGAGGAGGATCTTTGCCCTCATGTGTGTGTGTTGCAGTGCCACCCGGGTCCATGCCCGCCTTGTAAAGCATTTGCCCCTCCTCGTAGATGCCCTTGCGGAAAGAAGACGACTACGACTAGATGCTCTGATCGGAAGTCTGTTCTTACTTGTGGTCAGCGCTGTAACAAGGTTCTTGAATGCGGTCGTCATAGGTGTGAGCGGGTTTGTCACTTGGGTGCTTGTGACCAGTGTCAAGTTCTGGTCAGTGCTTCCTGTTTTTGCAAGAAAATGGTGGAGGTTGTTCTTTGTGGAGACATGATCCTGAAGGGCGAGGTGAAAGCTGAAGATGGGGTCTTTTCATGTTCTTCTCTTTGTGAGAAGAAACTTAATTGTGACAATCATTTCTGTAGTGAAGTTTGCCACCCAGGCTCCTGTGGAGAGTGCAACTTGCTGCCAAGCAAGACAAAGACATGCCACTGTGGGAAAACAGTCTTGGAGGAGGAACGGCAGAGTTGTTTAGACCCAATCCCTACCTGTTCACAAATATGCAAGAAGCCACTTCCTTGTCGGAAGCATTTTTGCGAAGAGGTGTGCCATGCTGGTGATTGTCCCCCTTGTTTGGTTAAAGTGGAGCAAAAATGCCGCTGTTCATCAACTTCTCGATATGTGGAATGCTATAAGACTACTTCAGATGAGAAATTTACTTGTGATAAGGCTTGTGGGCGGAAGAAGAGCTGTGGAAGGCACCGTTGTAGTGAGCGATGCTGTCCTCTTTCTAATTCAAGCAGCACCTACTTGGGGGATTGGGATCCACACTTTTGTTCCATGTCCTGTGGTAAGAAGCTGAGATGCGGCCAACATTCTTGTCAATCGTTGTGCCACAGTGGCCATTGCCCTCCTTGCCTTGAAACCATTTTCACTGATCTAACATGTGCTTGTGGGAGAACTTCATTACCACCTCCATTGCCTTGTGGAACACCAACCCCTTCTTGTCAACTCCCATGTTTAGTACTTCAGCCTTGTGGTCATTCATCTTCTCACAGCTGCCACTTTGGAGACTGCCCCCCTTGTTCGGTGCCTGTAGCAAAAGAGTGTATTGGTGGACATGTTGTTCTTAGGAACATTCCTTGTGGGTCACGGGACATTAGATGTAACAAGCTATGTGGAAAGACCAGGCAATGCGGTATGCATGCCTGTGGAAGAACTTGTCACCCGCCACCTTGCGATGCTCATACGGAATCTGAACCAGGTTTAAGATCTTCTTGTGGGCAGACATGTGGTGCTCCTAGGAGAGATTGCAGGCATACATGTACTGCACCTTGTCACCCCTCGTATCTTTGTCCCGATGTACGGTGCAACTTCCCTGTGACAATAACCTGCTCTTGTGGCCGGATAACAGCAAGTGTTCCATGTGATGCTGGGGGAAACAATGGTGGTTTTAATACTGATACTGTATACGAAGCTTCAGTTTTGCAGAAATTGCCAGTGCCACTTCAACCAGTAGAAGCCTGTGGTAAGAAGATACCACTTGGACAGAGGAAGCTGATGTGTGATGATGAATGTGCAAAGTTGGAGCGGAAACGAGTTCTTGCAGATGCTTTTGATATAGCTACAACAAACTTGGATGCTCTTCATTTTGGTGAAAGCTCTGTTGTTTCTGAGTTGTTGACAGACCTCTATAGGCGTGATCCAAAATGGGTATTATCTGTGGAGGAGAGATGCAAGTATTTAGTGCTTGGAAAGAGCAAAGGAACTACTAGTGGTCTTAAGGTCCATGTTTTCTGTCCAATGCAAAAGGATAAGAGAGATGTGATTAGGGTAATTGTTGAAAGGTGGAAGCTCACTGTAAGTTCTGCTGGATGGGAGCCAAAGCGTTTTATTGTAGTTCATGTTACGCCAAAGTCGAAAGCTCCACCTCGTGTTCTTGGGGTCAAGGGCACTACTACCGTGAATGCACTCCATCCTCCTGCGTTTGATCCTTTGGTGGACATGGATCCCAGGCTTGTTGTTTCTTTTCCAGATCTGCCTAGAGATGCCGATATAAGTGCATTGGTTCTGAGGTTTGGCGGGGAGTGTGAGCTCGTCTGGTTGAATGACAAGAACGCGTTGGCTGTGTTTCATGATCCTGCTCGTGCAGCAACAGCCATGAGGAGGTTGGATCATGGATCGGTATACCATGGGGCTGTTCTGGGGCAGCCAGCTGCTGGTGCTTCTTTGTCCTCAGGAACCAACGCATGGGGAGGAGTGGGAACGGCCAAGGGTAACCCTTGGAAGAAGGTGGTGGTTCAGGAATCTGGTTGGAAAGAAGATTCTTGGGGTGGTGAAGAGTGGTTATCTGGTGGCTCTGCCGATGTGCAGGCATCTGTTTGGAAGAAAGAAGCGCCACTTGCTGCCTCATTAAATAGATGGAGTGTTCTTGATCACGAAACGACTTCGAGTTCGTCACCCACATCTGTTGGAGTTAAGGTTTCGGCAAAGGAGAATACAGGTGGCACGCATCCGAATTTGGGATCGAGCACAAGTGTTGTGAATCCAACGAGGCAGCTCGTAGGAAATATTACTGGCACAGATACTTCTGAGGTGGTGGATGATTGGGAGAAGGCTTATGATACTATGGAGTAAGAAAAACATACTAAAATTTTCCGACAAATAAAGTACACTCAGTTTTATGTTTTGGATAATTCTTTCTGGTTCATGGAAAAGGGTACGAGAGGCATTATACGGCCTAATCGTCCCTTCTGGTCTTATTTCGGCTTCTTGTGCCGCAATAGGGCATATGTTTTCTTTGATGTTTTGCACTCAATTTCTCTTGCTTCGGTTACATCTTCCAGTTGTCTGGTCGATCTTTGGCTAGTATTTTTTTTTTTTTTCAAAAATCTACTAGCATGGCATAGAATTGGTGTGAAACTGAGGCTGTGTTTGCGGTTCTAGGCTGTGTTTGCGGTTCTGCTAAATGGAAAAGCGTTCTTTTGTAAATGCGGATTTCGTTTTATTATATATTGCAACAAAGTTGCGACTATGCTTCAATGGAACAAACACATGTATATAGCATACGTATATGTTACATGTATTTTAGCATACGTATATGTATACGTATATGTTTTTATATGTATACGCTAACTATTTGCTACTGGCAACATTCTAAGGCTTCGTTTAATTTTTTTATTCAAATTTTTAATTTGAGTTAAAATGTGATTTTATGTGAGTTTTTTATTGTAACAGAAAAAATTAAATGTAATTTTTTTATAAAAATTTTTAACGGTAACAAAATTAAAATTAAAAATTTAAATCGGTGAAATAAATGAAGTTTAAATCTATTTTTTTATGCATAATTGATTACAATAGTTTTTTTTTCTTCTTTTTTTAAATGATTACAATAGTACATTATATATGATTTTATATTGGCCTATAAAATATAGGGCAAATAGTAAGGGATATACTTTTTTCTAGAGTGAATAACACCCTCAGACTTCGATTGAAGGGTCAAAGAAAATTAGAGATCACCAAACTAAAATGTAACCGCTCACATACTATTCGAAACATAAAAAAAATACAAAGCTTCAATATATTCTAAAAAAAAAAAAAAAAAAAGCTTGAACACCAACAGAAAACAAATGGCACCACACCGTCTAAGCGGCGGTGCCCAATCCGCAGCCGAACACCGCGTGTCGCCTCCCCGGACAACACCGCCTCATCCAACATGATCGGAAACGCATGACCTCCTCGACTCCACTGTCTTTATTTCGAATGTTGGCCGGGATTGCCTCCAAGCGCCACCACAAATTCGCGACCAACCCGTTTTGCATCCGTTCGTCCGTCGCGAATCGTTACTCAAAGCCATCGCTAATCGTTTCAGAGGGGCTCGACGAACAAAACTTTGCAACTCACTCGGTGAATCTCAGCCAAAAAGCTCCATGACCCACTGCCCTATTCGCGCTCCTTCGACTTAAGCCGCCGTCAACGTTGGCCCGGAACCACTCAATCACTGCTCGACTGTTCAGCCCTTATTGACTGACTTATGGGTTTCAATTAGAATTTGAAATCGGATTATGGGTATAAGAATTCGGTGGTAATGTGCTGATTGGGGATATTAATCTTTGATGTTCAATTTGTGGAATTAGTTTGGATAAATAGTTAGATATTTGTTGAAAAGTTGAATTGATTCTTGCAGTGTTGAAATAATATAATAATATGCTAATTATGCTCTCGTTGAATGCCCCTCTAGTGCTGCGGCCTGGTTTCTCTCTTTGCTAAGTGATCAAATCAGTAAGTTTAGAGGTTAATGGTGGCTAGACTTATGTTTGTTTTTGTCCAAGGAACTATCTGGTGGATTTTTTAAGTCAATAGGCTCCAAATGTACACCCATTCAATTCGTAGACCCGTTATAAATAGAATTTCAATTTTCATTTTTTTTATTCTTAGGATAAGAGTGAATGACCAAAATATCCTTTAAATGGGGAGGGAAAAACGACGGGTCACCTTAAGGAGAGGTAAAATTATGCCCGATCAGATCTTTCTTACTGGAAAGACCGGTTGGCAATTTTCTTACAGGGCACACTAGTAAAAACTTTCTGACCGAACTCAGGTTTCTTACCGCTCCCACCAGTCAGAACGGAAAGAAATGACAGACGTGAGTTTCTTCGATTTTACAGATTACTCAACTCCGAAGAGGCTATGAAATAGCATGCTTCTTGTTGGTTTTTCAAATAAAATACCAAACTACGATTACCCAGCATTCAAACAATGAATTAAGCATAAAAAATACAAGATTTGAGAGAATATCAGAGGTAGGGGCATTCTCCGGCGGTGAAAGGCGGCGCCACCGGTGAACTTTGGCCGGCAACGTTTCCTCGTGACTGCCCAGCGAAGGAGGGGATTTAGCTCCTCCTTTTCAAACGTTTTTTCTTTTAATTTGAGAGAAAATGAGAAGGGCATTTAGGGAATACACATTTTTTCATTTAATAAGAGACCTACTCATTGAAACTTTCTATTTTGGAGCCTACTCATTAAATACATTACACATTTTAAGCCTATTTTTCAAAAGGACCCGTTTATATATGCATAGCTTTCGTCAAAATAACGAAAGCTTTTTGTTGGGTTTTTTTTTTTTTTTGGAGAAAACAATAATTATGACGTTTGGTTTATGTATTTAGAATTATGATTCAAAACCATTCTCATTTTACGTGTATTTTTTATGAGAAAAAATACTGTAAAAAATCATAAATTATGATTCAAAATCAGCGATGAATATAGGAAACAAACGTCACCTTACAGTAGCAGCATCTCTTGCACCTTCTCCATAAGTTCCTATGCAGTAGCATCGTGTCAAATGCATTTTATTTATTCATTTTTTTTTCCTTTTTTCTAAACGTATTACGTCTAAAATCAAATTGGCAAATCACGAATGTTACATTAACGTCATCGAATATCATATCATTTGAGGTAGGTTGGATGTGGAGTATGACAAAGAACTCTTCCAAACTGTAATCAAAGTCATTAAACAATCATTAAATATATTAAATATACTAAAGCAAAATCTTTCCGTAGGGGCGGCAAATTGGGTTATTGTATAGGCTCATATAGTGAACATTGATATTTTATTTGGATTAACAAAACTGTAAAAATCGATCTTATTTTCCCTTTTTAGTCAAACTTCGAAGAAAAAAAGAAGAAAAGAGTTAAATCCTTAACAAGGATACATATAACATATAAAAGGGTGTAACATTTATTTTATTCTGTCTGATAATGACTTTGTTGAGATATATCAAGAAAAAATTTGTCACCTATAAATCGGTGTTAATTTTTTAAAAATATTTGTTACACAAAATTGTCATGTTACACACTCTAATTTATATTTTGAAATATAAGATCTCTACTTATCAAGTACATAAAACAGTCCAAAAGAACTTGAAAAGTTTTATTTATTCTCATCAATTTATTTTAAGGGACATTTTCTAGTACGCTAATATATGGGTAGACAAAATATCTTATCTGTTTAATCTACATAAAATCACGTAAAGTTAAAGAATATACAGATCTAACGGTTAAAAAAACTGGAGCCTCTTTCGCTTCGCGGATTCTAGTTTTCAATTCGAACTGAGATGTTACATTTTTTAAGAGCTTTTAACTGTAACAGAAAAAGTTAAATATGACATTTTTAAAAAATTTTTAACTGTAAAAATTTAAAATGATAAAATAAATGAGACATTGACTTACCAATACATCACACGTAGTAAAAAATCTCCCTATTTTTTTATGAATGAAAGCAATAAAGGGAGAAAGTTGAGGAAGGTGGAACAATAATAAATCACATGACATGTGGGGGGCTTCCTACACGAAACCCAAATCCAAACGGAAAGGCATGTGAATTGATTTCATAATTAACCGTTTTTTTTTATTAATGTTTGTTTTCTCACTAAAATATCCGTAAATTACAGATTAGTTTTAGGAATCATTCACACCAAGTGGTCGCTCTCAGTCCGGCGTTTCCCTCCCTCCCATTCCCTTCCCTTCCCTTGCCGTCTCATTCTTTCTTTCTTTTTTGCATTCTTATTGTGAAGTCCGTCCATCCATAACGCATTGGGAAAATCGCTTTATTATTATTTTATATTATTCAAATAATCTACTCGCATTTCTTTTTAAGATTTGGTTTTATTTTTTTTCTTTCTTTCTTTCTTGTTTCTGTATGTTCATTCCCAGTCACAGAAATGGATCCTCAGCTGAGTCCCACTGCTTTCACTCATCCCTTCAAGGTAATCTTGTTTGTTCTTTACATCTGTTCAGTACATTTTTAGTGTTGGGTATTTGAAGTTATTGTTTCTGTTAAATGATTTATGGGGTTGATTACGAATTAGATTTAGGATTAGTTTTAATATTTAAATTTGATTTTAGGATTATGTTTATCTAGTAGGATTATTTTTGAATTAGTAGTTTATCTTTTAGATGCCTGTAAATACATTAGTGATTGTAATTCTTATTCAGGCTTTTGATGATCAATGATTTTGAGATTATTGGTTTCTACCCGGTCCTACATCAGGGGTGTTTGACTTTAGTTCAACTTTACTTATTACTTTCTTTTGAGACGTTTTGGACCCATTTATATGTGGTTGTTTGGCAATTATTTCATGGTAACAATAAAGTATAAGATCTAAACCATCATTCTCCTGTTTTGCTTTGTTTTATTTGTTCTTCTTCTTTTTAGTTCTTGTTTAGGTTTTAACAGTTATGAATTGTTGTTCCTGTTAGATTAAATTAATTCTTTCAAATCTTGATTTTTGCGAAATGAAAGCATAATAGCTAGATGAAATCTAAGGTTTTAGATGACCTTGCCAAATTGTTAATTCCTGTTAGTTCATGTACCAGATCTTGGAAGACACTGTTAACTAACTAAATAATAATTTGGTAGACATTCCTTATTTCCTTCTGGAGACTTCTGAACGAGTTCATGATTGGTAACTCAGGAAAACAAAAGATAAATATTATGTATTAAGGGGGTTACTATTGTGCTAAAAAAAAAGATTAAACAATCTTTTGAAAGCAGACTCTTGAATTGGATATTGAATATGTGGTAGAATGTAATCTTATAGTAGTGAAATTATCTCTTTAGAATTCTCTTATCTTATAATCTAATTTTGAAAACAATTGTCTATGAAGTTTGAATTACGAGTTAATTGCTGCTAATATGAAATCTGTGTTCAACTCTAACAAAAATCACGAAGACGTGCAGTAGAATTTCTTGCACCAACTCAAAAGTAAGACCAGTGGCATTTTATTTATTTATTTATTTATTTTTCTTTTTTCCAAAAAGAAGAATGAGGTTCTCTCAGACTAGTAGCACCTGATTATCAGTAATTAGGATAATATCTGCCAGTATTGGAGAAATCTTTGCATTCACTTCCGCGTCACTTAAAAGTATTATGTCTTCTGTGTTAGCCACAGTGGACGTGTGCCTTCAGTTTGTTGTTCAATCCTGAAATGTGAGTTGACGACTACTATTGCTCCAAGGTTCTTCCGTGTGCGAGCAGAGCTAGGGAATGTTGCGAGCCCCCAGCTCTACATATAGATAAGGGATGGGGCCCACCCTCTATCTGTTGTGGAGCTGGGGGCTTTCGGAGTCCCTCAGCCTTTTGGTTCATTTACTGATGTGTAGTGTGCCTTTAATTTTCAACTACTTAATCAGACCTTACATTTAATAATTTACACTGTCCATCATTGTGAATCATTTTTGGACTGATTCAAATTGATAAGATGGCAGAAAGATGCAAGTGAATTATTTCTAATCAGTTTTAACTTGTGATTTCTAATACAATAATGTACAGAGTGAGACTTGGAAGCATACACTTCTTTTTTCATTTCAAAGCCTTGGAGTGCTTTATGGCCAATTAAGTACTGCTCCTTTATACGTCTTTGGGACAGTTCCTCAAAAAGATTTTGTATCAGATGAGACTGCCTATGGCCTCTTCTCCTTCATCTTTTGGACAATGACCATAGTTTCTTTACTGAAGTATGCCCTTATAGTGCTCAGGGCTGATGATGATGGAGAGGGTAATTGTCTTTACTCTGTGTAACCATAAGATCTATTCTGCCAGGCTTAGTCTTGAATGCTTATTTTTTTCTAACCAATTCTATAGGGGGTACTTTTGCTTTGTACTCAATCTTGTGCAGGCATGCTAAAGTCGGTCTACTTCCAAATGATAGAAGTGCAAATGAAGTAATGAATTACGAGGTAGGAAGTCCTTTCAAGATCAAGATAGAATCCAGGGCTAGAAGGGCTATTGCAAAACATAAAAGTAGCCACTATCTGATGTTGTTTTTGGCTTTGTTCGGTTCCTGCATGGCAATTGGCGACGGGGTTCTTACTCCTGCTCTTTCTGGTTAGGCATCCCTCATCATCTTTCCTTATTTATTTGCAGCATGACCTAATTTGTTCAATTTAAATAATCGTTTTCTCTCTCTGTTTCTTTTTTCAGTGTTATCGGCTGCATCAGGTTTTGGAAGATCTTTGTCTGATATCAAATGTAAGCATATCAGTAGATTAAATTAGTGAAAATAAAAAATTCCGTTGCGAATCATCACTTCCTCACTTGAGTTTTATTTGTCATTTCTACCAGTTTCATCTCGGGAAAGTAAACAAAAGACAATATCCAAAGCTTTAAAAGAATGTGAGTACTTAATCATCTGAGTGTGTTATTTAAATTGAATCTTCTCCCTACTTTTATTTTTTCATATTGTTTTCCAATTAACTTTAGTCTATTGTCAATTGATGCGGCTCTATCTGCCTATATTATGTGTTTCTGGATTGTATTATGCGTGTTAATTGTCAATAGTTTCCCTTGCATCTATCAGAAGTAGTCATTTGGGAAATGTATCTCTTCTGCTATGGAATAAGATTAGATGCATTATTTATTTATTTATAGTCATTGTATGTTTGTTTTTAAGGATACTTTGAGTTTTGATAAAAGCGACCACAGATGCAATAAACTGGTTGTTTCTGCATAGATTATGCCATCCTAGAACCTTGAAATATCATTGTTTTAACTTCTATATGCTTACCGTTGCCCATGAAAGGTCCATGGATCTTATTATTTCTTTTTAATAAAAATATTGTAATTTGTCTTATCTTACTGAGGCCATCTCCAACCAAGCTGCATTTCTCCAATTTGGGGCAAGAAATGCACTCCAACCGAGCACCATAACACAACTGACGATACTTGGATCTCAAGTTGATTTTTGAGTAATATCGTGATCCTCCCAGTTGATCGAACAACTCATTGATCATCGGCAACGGGTACTTGTTCTTCACGGTAACCCTATTCAACTGTCGGTAGTCTATGCACAACCGAAGAGATCCGTCATGCTTTTTCGCAAACAAGACAGGTGCACCCTATGAGGAAGTGCTATTTCTAATGAATCCCTTTTCTGCTAACTCTCCGAATTGTTTCCTTAGCTTTTTCATCTCTGCAGGCGCCATTTGATACGGAGCAATAGAAATCGGAGTCGTTTCCGGAAGTAAGTCGATGCAAAACTCGATTTACCGGTCAGGCGGTAAATCAGGCAACTCATCAGGGAATACATCCGCATATTCATCGACCACGGGGACCTCAACATTCTCCCCGGCGATTCCGGATTCACCCTCTAATGCCGAAAGGAATGAGAAACAAGCTAAATTTCGCCGTCTTCCGACACTATGCCTCAGTAGTCGTTCTTCAGTAACCGGGTTAACGCCTCCCTGATACGTTACTATCGTGCCAGAACCGGTAGTCAAGGTAACTCTCATACGGTGGCAATCAACAATCGTCCCATATCTTGACAACCAATCAATTACAAGCACTACATCAAACTGATTCATGGAAAGGATTATCAAATCTGCCTTTAATTTCTCACTTCCAATCGTGCTCACACACGACCTACATACACTAGTCACCTCCACACGTCCCAATGAAGAACTTATAAACATTGAAGTTTCTAAGTCATCGGGTTTCAAACCCAAAATTTTCACAAAAGAAGTGGAAACAAAAGAGTGCGTAGCACCAGTGTTGAACAAAACTCGTGCAAAAGAGTGAGAGATAGGTACCATACCCTCAACGACTGGGTTTCTGGCATGAGCTCCAGAACTACCCCCGGCCATGGTATGCATCTGCCCCAGTGCTTTCCCCTTTCCTCTCTCGTTGTTGTTAGGTCTCTGGTTTCCAGGCCTATACTGTTGCTGCGGTGGGGTAGACTGTACTGACACGAAAGCCTGTGGTCCGAAATAAGAGTAGTTCGGCGGATGGAAGATCGGTGCAGGAGGAATTGGCATATGTGCAGGCAACTGGGGCTGATAAAAAGGCGTGAACTGTGGAAGTCTGTCTTGACTAGGAGCAATACCCCGTTGATTCTGCGGTGATTGCTGGGCCTGTTGGTTCACCTGTTGGCCCTTGACAGGACAGTTCTTCTTTATATGCCCTAGCTTCCCACAATGGTGGCACTTGAAGCTATAGGGTCAACTCTTTCCACTTCCCGAAGAGCCACTGCTACCACTAGACACTCCCTCACTACCTTGCCCTTGATCACGGCTTTTTCTGTTATTCTTTTGAGGTCCTCCTGAAGTTTTCCCTGAAACTGCTCAATCCTGAAGGAAGGCGATGTGCTCTTGTTCAACAGAGATGGCTGCTGCAACCAGGTCACTGTAGACTCGATGCCTTAAAGCTACTACTGATTTTCGGATCACACCCTTAAGACCTTTCTCGAACTTTAGGCACTTCTTGCGCTCCGATTCAATCAAGGAAGGAGCAAAACGGGACAGTTCATTGAACCTAGATTCGTATTCTCTCACCTTCATTTCCCCTTGCTGTAGGCCCATGAATTCCATGGCCTTTTCATCTCGATAACTTTGGGGAAAGAATTGCTCATTAAAGAGCGCTTCGAATTGTTCCCAAATCATCCTCTCTACATCTTGCATTCGCCGGATATGCTTTCACCACGCACTTGCAAGACTTTCAAACTTAAAACCTGCGAACTCCACCCAATACTCATCCGGTACTCCTATGGTACTTAGATGCTTAGACACCGATTCGAACCAATACTCAGTTTCCTTGGGTCCACCCGCGCTAGTGAATGCAGGAATTGAACTACGCCTGTACTCACGGAAATAGTTCTGTTTTCTATCCTCCGCGGGACGTTCATTTTGGGCTCTAGTAGCCATCCCCTGGAAAGTGGTGTACATGGCTTCCATGAATTGCTCATTCGGCATCGCCGGTGGGTTAGAGTTTCTACGGCGCGGCGGCATTCTTTTATCTGAAAAGAAAGCTAGACTGTTTTAGTGGTTTCCTGATGTCATTCATGTATGCATAATTCCAAACCCTAAGGTTCTAAATCGATGGCTCTGATACCAAGTCTTGTCACGCCTCCAAACCGGAGTTAGTGACGTGGAGGCTTGTTTAGAAACTTAAACCTGTTTAAGAGAATAATTAGCATATAATGTTGTAAACATTATAATATATATATTTTTTTAAATTCAAAACATCCAGGTATTTCCAAACAAGCCCCTGCATTTAAGAGAAATTTAATTTCAAGAACGGTGATGGAATTTTCAACCAAACCAGTTTAAAACTACGTCCCTGGTATCATGTCAGGAATTCCCACAGGTGTTTAGCATACATGAATATAAATAAGAGTAAATGTGACATCAACTACAGTCTAGTAATATTTAATTTTACAATCCATAATCTTTCATACATGCCTTGAGATAAGGGATTAGAGGAAATACAACTCTTCGCTTTCCTGAAACAAGTCCACGTCGCCGGTAATAGCTACCTACTCCGCACTACTTCTGACGTCGCCTGGAGGGGTTTAATACATTTGAAAACATTAAAAGGTGAGCGAAAGGCCCAGTAGGATATAATTTTATAAAACATTTAAAATAAAGGTACTCACGGTCCGAAGATGTATACCCGGAACCGATCATTCTTTTTTTTTTTTTGAAAAAAAGAAATACTCACATAATAGAATATGTCTGTATAATGAAAGTGTGCAGCTCATCATACCACTAAACAAGAAGCGGTAAAAATGTCTGTCTAATGAAAAGTGCAGAGCCATAATTCCACTAAATAAGAAGTGGATCCGTACGGGTTTCGGGACTTGCCCCCAAGGATGCGATTCCCACATTCCGATATTTGAGGCCACCATGCATTGTATCATTCCTTAAAATATTTCATTTTAAGAAATGATACGCTTTGAAATCTCATTTTCAAAATCATTGGAAAACTTAATAACATTCTCATACTATTTCTTTAAAATCATTTTCTTTAAACATGTTTTGTTCTAAAACATTTTCATTGGCCAAAATCATTTAAAGTGAGGCTAAAAAGGATATGGACAAGAATATTCTACCTCTCGGATGTCAAACCTGGGCTAGCCTTCAGTTCTCCTAGCCGCCGCTTTCCTTAAAGTCTTAATACTTGACCTTCTCCACTAGCTTTATCACAAAAGTAATATCTTAGGAAGTATTTCTCATTCCTAAAACGAATTAAGTTCAATCATGTTTAATTGTTTCCTATTAGTGTGCCTCGACTCAAATCCAAATTTCACAATAATTTTATAATTCATTTTGGGGGTTCTTTAAAAATTAGAATCCAATCCATAGGTTTGGTTTTCCTATTTAATTTCAGTTTTAAAAAAACAAGTTTCTAAAGAAATTTCGGCAGCATGCCGGCATAAATAGGAAAAATGCTAAACCTGCAATTCAAGTCCAATTTCAATATATATTCTCCAGAATCCATCAAAATCAGTTTCTAATCAATTAAACCAGTCCAATAACTAAAAATCCCCAAATTTCATTCGATTCCAATAATAACTATTCAAACTCGAACCCTAACTCAAAATTATTCAAATCTAATCAAAATCAAACTTTCTTAAGCTTAAAATTCGAATCAAAGAGTGGGTTTCAAAGGGTTTTACCTCAAATCAGTTACTCGAGCTTTGTCTCCCTCAATTTCTCTGTTTTTCGTTTTTTTCTTTTTTTTTTTTTTTTGGTGGTTCACGGCTAAACGGCCGAGAGGGAGAGAGAAATCCGGAGAGAGAGCAAGGGAGAGAGAGAGAACGCCGGCGGAAGGAAGCCCGGAGAAGGAGGTGGCCGGCGGTGGAAGAAAATGGAGAGACAGAGAGGGCTGGGCGCTGTGCGTGGGAGAGCCAGGGAAGAAAGAAGAAAAAAAAAGAAAAGGAAGGAGAATAGGGGGGCTGGGCGCACGGGAAGGGAAAGGGGGAAAAAAAAAAAAGAAAAGGAAAAAGAAAAATGGAAAAAAAAGAGAAAATGTATTAAAATTTAAGTGTGTTTTCCAAAAATCTTTGGGGTGAAATTATAAATACTGAAAATAACTTAAAGTCCATTGATTAATTATGAAAATCAAATTAGGTACACTAATAATCCACAGTTTAATATAATTAAACATGTTTAATTATAGAGGGCGTTACAGTACTGTATATATGTGTTTAATTGGTTCAAAATTGTTGGGAATTAGTAGTAGACTAGTAGTAAAAGAAGAATATAAAAAGGAATATACTGGGAATACTCCTTTTAGATTAGGAGTTAATGGGTTGGAGATGAACTTCTTGGGTGACGTGAAATTACTCTTTTTTGAAGATAGAGCAACTCTAAAATGGAGTAATGGGCTGATGAGTATATGCCACATATCAAGTTATCAATTTGTTTTATAATTGTGCAAAGATCATGTGATTGTAACCCCCTTTTTTTTTGGATAAAGCAAACTTGTATTTTTATGAATGTTTCCTAGATTTTCCATGGTTTTATGTATCTCTATTACCGATTTTCCTTTTTTCTAAATTTTTTATTTATCTAAATGATCACAGATGTACCAGTTCCTTCTTCATGTGCCATATTGGTATGTCTTTTCATGCTGCAGCACTATGGAACTCATAAGATCGGGTTTATCTTCGCTCCTATTGTCATCATATGGCTTTTATTTATTAGTGGAGTGGGTATATATAATATTTTTCATTGGAACCAACATATCTTCCATGCAATATCCCCAACTTACATGTGCAAATTTGTCATCAATACCCATGTTAATGGTTGGAGGTCACTCGGCAGCATCATTCTGTGCGTCGCAGGTTGGTTTTTGTCATGGCTTAAGCTATGATATCAGTCTTCATTATTATTATTTTTGTCTTCTTCTTCCTCTTCTTTCAATGAAGTTTGTTTACATCATGAGATGCTGTATCTTTCACAGGATCAGAGGCAATGTTTGCAGGTCTAGGTCATTTCTCAAAGAAGTCTATCAAGGTATTGGTTATGTCATTTCTATCTATTTATAACATTTGTACTGGATGTCACTTACATTTATTCTTAAGTTGTCTTCTTAACTCATATGGCTGGTGGTCTTTCATTGCAGATTACATTCATATGCTTAATTTATCCAGTTCTTGTTTTATGCTATGCTGGTCAGGCAGCATATATATCGAAAAACTTGCATGTTGAAGATTTTAATCATCTCAGTGAATCTGTGCCTGGTATGCGCTTTATGAAATCAGAATATGTTCAAAGAGGCCGTTGTATTGTATGTCGCTAACCATTTAAAACATGGAAATGGCAGGACATCTTCGCCATGTCTTTGTGGCATTATCCCTTCTTGCTTCAGCTGTAGGAAGCCAGGCAACCATAACAGCTAGTTTTTCTATCATAAACCAGTGCCTGGCGCTCGGTTGTTTCCCAAGGGTTAAAGTTATTCACACATCAGATAAGATACACGGCCAGGTCTATATTCCTGATATTAACTGGCTCTTAATGGTGCTTAGCCTTACTGTCACTATCGCTTTTCATGACATCATGAAAATTGGGAGTGCAACAGGTAATGCGCTGAGCAATGTCTCTCGTTGTGATAATATTCTGAGGTTGCACTCCTTAATTTCTTATATAAATTTGTTTACCTATAAAGAATGAGGACATATTCTAGTTCTACGAACTTCCAGAATTACATATGATATTATGGACAAGGTTTTACTAAATTCACAAGTGACTTAAGGGTTCTAATTGGTGTTGATGTTTTGAAGTAGTACACGGTTTCTTTTATGCTAATTATATTTCAATGAAGTATCTTTAGAATCTACAAGTAATTTGCAATCTCTTAGGAAAGCTAATAAAAGGCCTATAACATGCGCTTAAAGCGAGTTTGGTTCATTTTAAAAAATTTCCTTGTCTGAAGTCATTTCTAATTCATATTATCTCCTGCAGGTTTGGCTGTAGTCTCTGGAATGCTGGTAACTACGTGTCTTATGTCACTCGTCATTGCTCTGTACTGGGAAAAGAATCTGCTTGAATCTGTCTGCTTTCTAATATTTTTCGGCTTCGTCGAGGCTTTGTATGTGTCGGCATGTATGTTGAACATTCACAAGGGAGCCTGGTATTTGGTTGTCCTTTTTCTATTATCATTTACAGTCATGCTTGCATGGCATTATGGAACCATGAAGAAATATGAGTTTGATTTACAAAACAAAGTGCCCATCGAATGGCTCACTGATCTTAGTCCAGGTCTTGGAGTTTCCAGAGTACCCGGAATTGGCTTTATCTACACTGATATAGTAACAGGAATCCCAGCGTTCTTCTCTCACTTTATTACAAATCTCCCTGCATTTCATCAAGTACTGATCTTTGTGTCCTTCAAGTCTCTACCAGTGCCCTTTGTTCATCCAAGTAGGAGGTATCTTATCGGTAGAGTTGGCCCCAGAGAGTATAAGATCTACCGCTGTGTTGTACGATATGGTTACTGTGATCATATCAGAGACACGGACGATTTTGAGGAGCAGATCATTCGTTCAATTGGAGAATTCATATCTCTGGAAGAAAATGATGCCGAATCTCTGACTTCACCAGAAGGAAGAATGATTGTTGTTGGAAAGCCATCACCAGAAGGAACAGCTTTAGTTCCTCTTGATGATACACAATCGCATCTCGGGTCTGAAATCTTTCCATGTGATGAAAATCAGAGGAGTACACTGGGTGAGATATCCGAGCGCAGTTGTCATCCTGTCAAGAGAAAGAAGGTCCGGTTCATGTTGCCTCCCGATAGTCCGAAAATGCGGGTCTCTGTTAGGGAGGAGCTACAAGAACTGATTGATGCCAGGGAGAGTGGCACCGCATATTTCTTGGGACAGTCTCATTTGGCAGTGCGCGACGGTTCTAACTTCCTCAAGCGGTTCCTGATCATGATGTATACTTTTTGCGATAAAAATGGCCGTGAGCCTCCGGTGGCGCTGAACATCCCTCATGCTGCTCTTGTGGAGGTCGGTATGGTCTATACCATATAAACTGTGGAAATATGAATACAGTTATGTAATAGCTTGTACAGAAAGAGGGCATATGAAAAAGACAAGATAAAGAAGAGATTTATGTGACTAGGGAGTATCGCTCCATCTTGTAGTTTACAGTCAAATATGAGGAGTTTTTGGGAATGAACAGAACAATATTAAAATGACAAAAAAGGGTATTTATTATGTTCTCGTCTGAGTTTAATCATAAGTAGTGAAACTCGCAATACAACAAAAGCAATTTTCTTATTTGCCAGTTGTATCATCGTGCTTCTATTTTTTTTTTTTTTTTTCCTTTTGTGCGGAAATATAAGTATTAATCATGAATTTAATTTCATGAAAGGGAATTAAGTTCCTTGATAAAGGAAAGCTTATCTTCCATCACTTAACTACTGAATTAAATCACTTCCCATTAAAAAATATGAACCAACCATATTTGGCAAACTAACAATCTTTAAGTGGCACACTCACCACTTGGTTATATTTAATTGAACTCCTTCCAACTGCAAGAAAGCTAAAGGAAAAATCAATCTTGAGAATTGATTAATTTTTCCTCTTAAGAACGCTTATCAAGAGCCCTTAAAAAGTCTATGAAGTGATATAATGAATAATGAGACTTACTGTATTATTTATAGAGTTTAAAAAGTCATATTCCTGCAACAATTAGGTTTCTTAAAATCTATCTCACGTCACAAATCACATTAAGTTGGTTTGACACGTTAGCAGTGTCCACCGGTCAATTAGTGTTGTGAGTGTATAAACTCCCTCACAGGTCAACCGGTCCACACACATAACCCGTAAAAATCTTACGTCTCGGTCAATTGATGACATGGAAAACTTATTTCTCAAGTTTATTGAATATGAGAACCTTACATAGAGCCTCAGTTTTAATTCAAATAATATAATATAAAAGTTACCTGCTTAAAACAGTCATATAATAGCTTTCACAAATTAAATAAAACTCAAAACAATATTTCAACCAATTATTTAGAATTAATTTAACAATTAATTCACTTGATAAATTGCTCATGAATTAATCACCGATCTTACCAGTGACTTTGAACCTTTTTACGGAAATAACATAAGTTACCAATATGTAAGAAATACGCTGCATCGTATCAAAAAAGTATATGAGCTAGCAAAAGGGCCCAATGGACATATATACAATAAGATCCTATAAATCACGATAGTACTTGTTCACCCACATGTTCATCACAAATCGCATAATGTTAGGATATCTCCCTTTTGCACAGCAAAGGATACAAGTTAAGCATACAGGTTTATTATTCATCTCAGGATTAAGATGACCACATATAACTTGTCAAAAGTGAAATGTTTTATTCAAATAAAATTATTAATTAAAACAATTCAATTTTAGTCTGATCCAATATATTTTCCATCACTAGCAACTATATCAATGTCTCTATCCATGTCCCACCTCTGATGACTAGACAAGTGATCCGCGCTAGGAAGGAGATAACATAACAATCTAAACATGAGTAAAGCGCCCAACTTTATTCTCTCAATTGTGAATCATATTATTTAGACTATTATCTTTAGATTCATGTCCCTGCATGTTCTTTACATTACATGCCTGATCTAAAAATTTAGAACGACAGTTTCAGACTCCCAATTTTCTTAACATACATTCAACTAATAGAAAGTAAAAAGAACATTATATAGATATATGAAATAAATAAACTTTGTTGATATCAAAATGTCAGAAAAGCAGTGTTACATTTATTCTTAAGGGACTAAACTCAAACAATATTTAGCTAGACCTTTCCCATACCTAGGCTTAACTTATTTAAGGAATTCAATTTGTGACTTGTTGTTTTCAGAGCTTTAGAGAGAGAAAAGTTAGAGCTTGTTCTTAGGCCTCATTTATTACTCTAAATCATGTTTTGTTTTAGTTAATCCGTTGTAAGTCCACGAGGATCTGAAGGCGGATTGTTGTTTGCAACAATTCTGTAAGCGTATGGTGTCAACTTTTAATAGTAAAATTAGTGAGAAATGTTGTCATTTCCGCAGGGATTGTCATCAAATTTCGCTAAGTACTGTAATTAAAATAATCTTAACTTTATTTAGAAAATTGAATAAAAATTAAATTGTGAGAATTAAATAAAAATAAAAGATTAAGGAATTTAAACAAACTCAAGATTTCAAATGAAGGAAAAATCAATATATGAGTAATTCTAGTGGTTTGATTTCACCTAGCAGTCAACTATGCCATTTCAATATAAATTTATTACTAATTAATTTTTCTAGTTTATAAGCCAAGAAGCCAAAGTTATTTCAACTCCCTCTCATGAGTGCCGAGTGAAAATAATTCCTAAATTTTGATTCTAATATCTCTATTCAAAATCAAGCTAAATAAGAATTTGTCACGCTCTATGGTTCTTTCAATAAGGCTTCAAGGAAATTATAGGCCTACCGAACTCCATAAAATCTTAGATTGTGTTATTTTTAGACCGCATCTAAAATTCCGTCTCCCCCGAATGTCAAGTTTCAAATACTCGATCATCCAATTAATGACAAGTCAATTGAGAAGCATTAAGAATAAAATAAAACAAATGAACCATGAGAAACCTCATGATATAAAATCAAGATATAGTATCAAGCATTCGCTACATCTCTGCTCTATAGAAAAGAAATTAGTTCATCATAAAATTAAAGAAAAACAAAAGCATGTCTCTCATTATCACGAAAGAGAGAAAGAGAAAAACTGATTCGGAAGAGAATCAAGCGTCTCTGTCTTTAGAATTTTCCGTCTTGTTCTCCGTACCAGAATTCTCCTCCTCATGCTTCTTCAAAATCTCCCAAGAGTCTGTAGAAAAAGTCACCCCCTTCAAAGCCCTAAAAATGCCTTTTTATGAGTTTTGAGGCAAAGGGGCAAAAAGGCTTAAGTTTCCACATGTTTCGGCCTTCAAACACGTGTTTCCTCGCGACACTCCTAGCGCCTAGGCGGTGTTTGCCAGCCAGCACAAAGGACTCCGGCAGCACACTCATAGCACTGCAGCGGTATTACTTGGGTGCCTAAGTGCTGCCCGTTCTATCCAAAACGTGCTGATTCGACCTTGAGCGCTGTAGGGCTCCTAAGTGCTCATATTCCATCCAAAAGATGTTCCAACTTTTATCCAACTTCCGAATTGAGACCAAATCTACTTCAAATCTTCCTATCAACAAAACTTCACCTAACCTGCGAATCAAAACACGAAAAAACACATAAAACTCACAAAAATCTCGTGAACCAACTGAATATTAAGCCTAAACGATACTTAATTCGTGAGTAAAAGTCACTCATCAATCTCGCTTGAAGCATGTCACTTGGACCGAGAGTGAGTAAGAAGACTTAAAGTAAGACGAGAACTTTGAAGGAAGAGACATCGAGATTTCTATATTGGTTTAGATCTTTCTTATAATTCCAACCATGGTAAAGGTAATTCGGTGTTTAGTGACATCCTCTTTTTGATCTAGTCTGATTGGCACTCGTGGTTTTTTCGTCTAAGGTTTTTTGGCTATCGGTGTGCCACTTACCGTTTCATAATTTTATTTTCAGAACAATTATTTGGTTTTTCGTATTAACGGGATAATAAGTTGTTCTGTGTACACAAAACATGATTTTTGTGTTTATCAGGTCCTACAAAATATATTATCTTCTCATAATGAAAGACGTTTCCATCCTTACGCAATCACACGTAAACATACACATCCTTTTTTTTTTTTTTGTTAATAGTTTCTAATATAAAACTAGAAATATTTAGCGGTAGTGAAAGGTTTGGGACCAATCTAGTTTATTCATGCATTATTAGGATTTTACTGACACTACAAGAAAAAGGGCTATTAGCGACAACAAAAAGTCATTGCCAAAATACAAAGTCGTCGCAAATACATTTTTAGCGACCACTTGTCGTCGTAAACTTGTCGCCGCAATTGATTCGTCACAAAAACAATTTTTGTGACGATCAGCAGTCGTCGCAATTATATTTGCGACGACATTCGTCGCAAATGAGTCGCTGCAATTATTTCGTTAGTTACATCGTTAAGATGACATGACATTGAGTATTTGCGACGACATTTTTCGATTTAAGTCATTGCAAAAAATGCAGAATTAGCTGACGTGGCTTAAATGAATACATGCATGAGATATAAAGAGATAAATAGATATTTATTATTATTAAGTTGGTTTATATGAATTTATCATGATAACCTTCATATATATTATTTATGTCACATAATGACTAGCAACTTTTGGTAGTATTAAATATTAGGATTATAACCTTAAGAATTTATATAAGAAGCAACAATACTTGTATCTAGTTTATGCTCAGTGTGGAGTACAAGGTAATAAGAAAATGGTCCTTAGTTTTAAGCCTCTTCATTTCTTCAAATTCGCCGCGATTTTGTTCATTTTTCTCAAACCGTCAGGTATTTTAGATAATCCCGGCCAGAAAGCACATTGGGTTATTTTGAGAATAACTAAAATTTCATTAATGAAAGGCTTCAAATTCCCACACAATCTGAAATCAGAAGCAGCAAGTGAGCTGCTTCTAATTTCAACTTAAAAATAGCTTTTAGATTCTCTAAGAATCCGTTTTTATGTGTTTACTAAACACATTTTTTAGCTTCAGCTGAAAAAAAAAAGTGATTTTGGCTTCCCAAAATCTCTACCAAACTAAGCCATTGTTTCTATATCTATAACCTATATAGTAGTGAGAATGTTATAATAGTGAGAATGAGATTTGTAATTAAACCTTTTTCACACCTCATATCTTTTTATAGATACAAAGTTGAGTTAATTGAAAAGCTCTTCTTCTTCACAAATTACATGTTTTTCAACTACTAATCAAATCCAACTTCATTTCTTTTTGAAAAGACTGTCCTAAATAATGCACAAGGATAGAACGAAAATGGGTCATTTAAACTCTAGATTTCAGATTTCAGGCAACAACTAGAAAAAAAGAAAAAAGTAGCAAGAGTACTATCTTAAGTATTAATGGCATTTAGGTCCTCAATGTTATTTTTCTCAACTTTTAATTGAAGCAAAACTTTTTATGAAAACGTAATACAGAGAAATTATATATAGATTAAAATCTGCTCAGGTGTAATGAAAAGAAGAATTGTAAAAATGTAAAGTTTCTAATGTTTTATTTTTCCTAATTAAATAAAATTTTAAACTGATTATTATTTGATTTGGTATGAATGTAACAAAGTTCAATTAAAAAATGCAA